AGCTATTGTATTTGAAACATTGGAACAATTGCACAAAAGTCCAACAATTCAAACAACAATAAATTATGCGACTAATGTTACATATTTGACAACAATCACAACTCCTGGTATATACAAGCATAATATTTGTTAAGCGAAAAATACAACTATTAGTTAAATTATTTTTTGATCTACACTTTTGTATGTCGAGCAAAAAGAGAAAAGAATATGTTTTATTTAAAAGTGTTCAATAGACTGGAGTTCGGCTGAAGAAAGTCAGTCTATAGATTATTGACCTTTGATCCAGCTCATTCGGAGCTCTGGTTTATTCTATCTCGTAACAGCATCTAAAAAAAACTCAGTAGCACACTTGGCCACTTCCATATGTTGTTTTGGAGAAGCAACGTGACTGTTTCCGCACGGTCAGTACATAGGTCTACGGAAAAATAAATTTACCCCGTTTTACTTTTATGCTATGGAAACTGCTAAAACTTCCATATTTGTTACACTTCAGTCCTTTTAGGATGTAGGTGAGGGTGAAGATATGAGTGCTGTTGAAGTGAGGGCGCTAAAAGGAACCTAAAGTGACTAAAGAAATAACTTGGAGGGTCTAAAAGTAAAACGGGATAAATTTTATTTTCCGTGGATCCCTCAAAGTAGGCCTTGATTGAGATGTGCATCACAACAGATGACTAAATTATGATCGTACTTTTTCAATCGGACAAATTCATTAACCTACTACAATAGTTTTCGATTGAGGACTAGTGGAACATTGTGAATAGAGATTTACGAGACTAAAATTTGGAAGTTTTTCAGGACCAGATCCACGAGAACAAAGTTATCCTAACCGGAACTAAAGGTTATAGTTAAATATTCTATGGTTTTTCAGTGAATCATCTTATAAATCATATTAACCAGAACATAATTCAAGAACGATAACCCCCCAAAAAAATGCTAGTTATTGACTAAATAAATGAAATTATTGAAGAACTGTTTTTGAATTTGATACTAATAAATTTTGAAATTGATTTTTCAGATTGGAATCAGGACCAAGAAAAAATCTTAATCTCAAACATCTCTAGTCATGAACAAATAGCTTATAAATTACGAAATAGTTTTCTTCGAATTAACTTTTTATCATAATGTTTTTTTTCTGTTTAGTTGAAATCACATCGGCAGTTGATAATAATAATAGTAATAATAGTTTCTCGGATTTCATCAAAGAAATGTCTGCTGCTACTTCTCAAAGTGATATCAGCATAAATAGAAGTTCACTTGACATTATAAAACGAATTGAATCAACTATGAATGTTTATTTATATCCATGTTTAATTGAATATAGTCTTATATCATTAACTGTATTCTTTCTTATGTGGAGAAATGTTGGTAGAATAAGTGCAGAACCATTTTTACGTTTTGGTGATCGTCATGTATTTACAATAAATTGTGCACGTGCTTCACGTGGTTTACTTATTGGTGGTATTATACTTTTATTAACAATTTTAACACTTATACCAACATATCTACTTAATGAAGATGCAATATCTGTAACACATATAACTGAACTTATTTTACTTACTGTTTCATTATGTATTGTTTGTATGTCATTCTTACATACAACTAAACTTTATTATAATCCCAAAGCACATGTTGATGCATTTGATCAAGTATTAATATTAATAACAACAGTTGGAGATTTTGCATATTCATTTTTTGGATTATTTGCATCAATATTTGTTGATCGATCTAAAAGTAAATTACCAATTGGTATTGAAATATCAATTGGATTTTTAGCAATATTTCAAACATTTTTACAATCAGGTTTTATTTTGGATACATTGAAAAGACGTGTAAAATCAAAATTTGAAATAAGAAATAAACCAGGACGAGAAACAATTACAGCTTTATTATTAATTAATCTTGGTAAATAAATCATTCATTTGTTTTATTATTATTTATAATTAATATTTTAATTTTCTAGCTATTTGGTTACATGATTCATTATCAGCAAAAAAAGTAAGATTAAATCCTTTACAAGTTGAATATTATGATGCTGGTACTTGGGCTATTATTCAAGCATTTACATCACCATTATCAATATTTTATCGTTTTCATTCAAGTGTATGTCTTGCGGATATCTGGCAAGAAGTTTATAGTGATCGTGAAAATAATGATGGAATTAAACAGACAAGAATAGTTGGAAGACAACATTCACTAAACATGGATTATGTTCATGATACTGAACATTAATATTGATAGTGTTTCTTACTTTTATTCGTGAACTAGTCATTTGTTCATCAGTTTGCTTTTATGTATACGAAAAAGAGATAAACAAAAAAGAGAAAAAAGAATATTTTTGTTAAATGATTTAAAAAATCACATATGTAATTTTTTTTTTAAGTTGATTTGTTTTCTTTATTTTAATTATGTATGAATTAAATAAACGAAGTTTTTCTTTCTTAGAAATAGATTTGACAATGTATCGATAGTAAAAATTTTATAATAAGTCTACTGACTGAGTAATAGTCAAAAAAACATTTTGAGTTCGAAAATGTGAGTGAAATATGAAGGTAAATCAAGGTATACTACAGAATATTTTTTCCTCTTTAAAAGTACATGACACAAGGGTATCGACCATTTATTTTTCAAGATAAAGAGAATTGTCAAATTTAAAAATATAGTTATAGGTAAATTTAATACTTCTTGACGTAAATTCTATTTAGTAATAGATTTTCAAGGTAAATAACTACAAAACAAGTCATATAAGTTATATTATGTCCCTGCTTTCAAACGAAAACAACACATTGTTTGCTTTTTTTATCAATATCATTTGTTTTCCTTCTCAGAAAGAGAGCTACATAATCAGTGCATTG